TGTCAGTAGGTGTCAGAAATGCTCATGTTGTTGTTTTACAACTACCACTAATATTAATAATTACAAGAACAAGAAACAGCCTGAAACTATTGCACAAAAAAGGCCTTCCAATTTTGATCATGAAGGAGTAAACTTGTTTGCACTATGTGGTCTATAATAATTCAAAATTGTTGGCTTCAGGTGGATAAAAGTTAGCATAATAGCACTAAGATACATAGAGTTTTCGGAGTTAAGCTACTCTAAGCTAAGCAGGCTAATCGAGTGATTTTGTTGTGCTCCAAGCCAGTGTAACAGGAGAATACTAAGCTTTATTTGGGTAAATAAATAGTTTTATTTTTCTTTTTAACTTTGGCCCACTGTTCATTATTATTTAATATTGTGTATTTAGATAAAATAAAAATTTTCCTGTGCCTCCCTCAGTCTGTGCCCCTTTGTAGGGTTTCTATACAAGTGAGTAATAAACTGCCTTCAGAAATAGTTTTCCAGATAACAAACTCCTAAACTTATTAATATTCATGACTTACACAAGAGACGTGAGTAATAAACTGCTTTCAGAAATCGTTTTCCAGATAAACTCCTAAACCTATTCATATTCATGACTTACACAAGAGACGTGAGTAATAAACTGCTTTCAGAAATCGTTTTCCAGATAAACTCCTAAACCTATTCATCCAGTCATTATAAACTCCAGACATACCAGACATGTCTCAGTGCTTTCAGCTAAGGTTGGTTAAGGTTGTGTAAATCTCCTAAAACCGAAGGGAATACTCTGCCCTGGTACTTTTCTTTTCCTTGGTTCCCCAATGCCACTTGGGAAGAAGAATTAAAAAAAAAAAACAGCTTAGCAAGTTTTACTCCATAAAAGGATTAGAAAAGAGAAGGCTTTCATCATTTCATTCCTTTGTCACAATGGGGTCGCATGAGAAGAGGGAGTCTGTAACAAACAGGCATTCCTCACCCCCGACTCTCAGAGGCACTCATAAACACACACTGTAACGACCTTATGTCCCGCTCTGCTACACGAGATCACCTGCAGAGTATGCAGGAACTTCATCTGTAAAGTATGTGATCAAAAGCAGACATATTCACCTCCGGTATAAAACAAACACATTCAACTAGCGCAAGCATGCCTCCTGCTGCTGCCGAGCCAATTAACATGCAGAACAACACTCATCTTTGTGGTAACTGGCCCCCCACCTCACACCCCTTTCCAGACAGCTTAAAAAACTCAGTTCAAAAGAAGAAAGAAAGGAACACTGATGGCTAGTTGGAGGACTGCTTGAGAAAGAGAAGGCACTGTGAAAAAAAAAAACAGTATGACGATGAAAAGAAGGGAGGGAGAGGCAGCCACTCAGGGGAGAAACAGAGGGGGTGTTGAAGAGGAGGAGGAGGGGAGAGTTTGAGAAATAGTTTAAAACAGTGAGAACTGCAGACATTTGTGAGCACATGGAAAGAGCCAGAGCAGCGGGAACAAAGAACTTTAAGAAAACAAACTAAACAGCATCGAAAGGTAGAGTACAACTTTTCATTCATTTTATTAGAAATACCTTCTCCTAACCAGCTGCAAAACAGTTGCATGTTTTGTTTTGTTTTTCTAAAGGTTCAGCCATCAGTAATTGTCTCTAAGGACACATGAAGAACTTTCATGCCTGCTAAAATTCATTTTGATTTATCCAAGTCATAAAATACTGTCACTGGTTTGCTGTTGAAGTTTCGGGCTCCCACAGACCTTATCTGGCTTTCTGCCAGGAGTAAATGGAAGTGCTGATCTGTGTCACCCCAATAGCTTCCAGCAGTCAGATTTATTTATCTTACGGTGTTTACAGGATAGAGACCAGAACATTGCAGATGTCTGGGTGTATTTAAAGGCATCCCTTAGCAGAAAGTAGACTTGAAAACCCCCCCCTTAAAAAAACAAGTTGTTTTTTTGGTTTGGGATCAAACTGTGGTCAAGGAAGAACAAAAAAGATTGCTGTTAAAGTCTTTACTCTTTCTTATATCAAAGTAGGGGAAAAAATGTACAAAATTTTACTTTTTGTAATTAAAACTTTTTCCTTTTTGGCTGTGTTCAAAGTTGTGGCTCATAATAGTTATATTCATTTTCATGTTTTAAATGTGTAGAAAAAAAATTACAATACCAATTGACGCAACCAAAATTTGATGAAAAATATGCTTTGGATTGCTGAATTCTGGCATTAGTGCATAAAACCACAACCACCCCCACAAAAAAGATCAAGATGTATCTAATCAGATGAAATATAAAAGCAAGAGGCCTAGCAAACCAGCACTCAGTGAGGAATTTAAAAGTTCTCTCATAACCTCCTAAGTCTTCCAGTAATTCACCACGGTGTTAGAAACAAAGGAAGCAACTTTAGGTTGCTTCCTTTGTGCCCAAGGTTCCACCTGCTTCACAATCCTGAGACAAAATAGTGTTTCCAGTGGAAAGAAGAGAAATCTGTCCTTCCTACTTGTTTTTATTTACATGGAGCTCAAAACACATTTACTGCATAGGTAGAGTGCTCAATAATCCTCAGGTCTTTTTTGTCACAAATTGTTCACCATATTCCCATTAAAGTGGCTTATTATACCACTAAAACTGTCTGAAGAGAAAAAAAGAAACTATGAAAGATTTCCATATTGCAGACATTATGTCATTGACCACTTAATGGTAGATCCTTCCTGTCAGGTCGGTTGGTGGGGGGGTATGGAGACCGTATGGCCTGTATGCGAAGGCCTTATGGACGTGGCCGTCACGCGTTCGAGTCCCACCCTGTTGGCCTTTGCTGCATGCCTTCTCCCTCTTTTACTATCCACTTTCCTGTCAATCTGCTGTCAAATTGAGGCCACTAGAGACAAAAACATCCTTTAAAAATAATAAAACTGTGTTTTAAAATGTGTTATTTACTATAAAGACCAACTGAAAGGTCAATTATGATTTATTAAGTTCTTACTTTTCAGAATTATAGGTTTTCACCCTATTACCATTTTTGCTGCTATTTATGTAAAATAAATGTAGCTCCACAGATCTTATTTTTACTGTGGCGCAGTTTTCAGGATTTGCTTTTGTGTGACTTGACATTCTTAAAATTACTATTCTTTATACCTTGTTTAAACAAAGTAGTTGAATTATCGATTAAAGCTGGTATCAATATGACATGGATAACTTTATGTGCTTGGTCACAATAATGTGAGTGATCTATTTTTGCTTTCTTTTTCCAGAGAGATGGGATCACTTTGTGGGAACCTGGCTGTACTTCTCCTCTTCCTCTCACCTCTAATGCACTCCCACCTCTTCGCTCGTGCTTCTACATCTTCCCCATCCATCACTCGTAAGAAGGCCATAAACGTGGAACACTTCACCATAGTTAACCCCAACACTGATTATGATGACTTCAGCATTGTTCATGAAGTGGTACCTTCTGCTAAAAGTCCCCGTTTGAACAGTGAAGTCGTGAATACACCCTGTGAATACAATTCCTGCCTGGAAAATCAGGAGCCCTGTGAAATGATCAAAGCTAGAGAAGGGTGTCTCTGCCCTGGGGTGAGTGATGAGGACAGCCCTCCTCATGCTCCACGTATCGAAACACTGCGGCCGATCACCACAGGGGAAAACGCAGGGAAGATAGAGGTGCAGTGGTGCGCTCCTGACTCGGTTGTTTCCTCCTACAAGGTGACTGTAGAGGGAAGTGGCAACGATTTGGAGTTTGGGGATGGTGCCCGACGAGCCACGGTGGGATCTTTGGAGGTGGGGACAAAGGTTTGCGTGGAAGCAATAAACAAAGCAGGACACAGCAGTTACTCAGACTTCTCCTGCAAGCGGTACGAACGCCCTGAATTGCTGGAGCTCCAACTGCTGGCTGGGGTCATAGGAGGAGGAATCGTCTTAATTCTGCTTCTTATTATAGTAGCTGTGGTCCTCTGTAGGAGGAAGATGTGTCAGAAGGCGCAGCAGGAATCAGGCGGGGGACTGGGAAACCCCTCTTACAAATCAGAAAGAGCATCATGAGCCAGACAAAAGAAACGTGGACAGTTCAATCCAGTCAAGTTAATTAATAACAAAAGATTAATAGTTTTTTATGGTGTGTCTTATAACAAATATATGGTTTAAACTCCTGTTTCAAGGAATCTGCATGCAATCATGCAAAAATCAGTGAAATATGACTAACATTTGCTATTTTGTTGTTAGTTTTACAGGTTTGTTTGCAGGCGAATTAACCTTAGTAGATTAATTTTATAGTATTTTGTTGGGTTTTTTTATTGTTAAGCTTACATATTAATTGTTTTTCTAGAGTGGTGACTGAAATTGTTTTAATAAAATTATTTTTTATAAAAGTCTGAGTATGACTGATTTGATTTCAGTGAAAATGGCATTACAGAGTTCATTTCTTCTACATAATCATTTAACATAACTCAAAAGTCTGAGCTCAGTATATACTGCAGTATTTTTGCTTCACACCCTAATGCACCCTCATATGCCCACCATTATAGTCCTTTAAAAATGGGTTTTGACTGGATAAAAAAAATTGCATATGAAATGCAGGACATTTTAAATTAAAAAAGGGTTTCTGTAGTTCATTTTAACCCATTAAATATGGGGTATGTAACTTTTCTTTTAGTGGTTTTTATATATTTGTTAAATCTGCCATTATGTCCTGGCATGAGGCAAAGCTCTGGATTTTTAGATTAAGTTCAGGGTCCCTTTAGAAACTCCTCTCTCTTTTCACACTTTTAAGGGTTTTTTTTAAACTCTACTTTTATTGTCAGGGAATACCATCAGACTTGTTATGGCTTTTGATTCTCTTCACAATGTATAAGCAGTTGTTTTCCTATATTATCTCTTTTTTTTACAAGCTTTTCCAATTAAACTGGACCAGAAAGAACTATAAGAATTGTGGTACCTCAACAACACAGACATAAAATAAAGCTTCATTTTATTTTGAAAGTCTTCTCAAAGGTATCCCAGAGCATAGAAAGTACCACCCACTTTCTGTATGGGAGCCAATAATGTGTCAGTAAACAAAATGAGGAAGAAGTCGACATCACAGCTCATTTTCACAGTTTCGCCCTTTGACCAGGATGGGAAACACAAGTAAGTCAATTTCATGTAATGCAACAGGTATAATATGCAATTTAACACTGACCTATAACAACGCGTAGACTTTAATGCAGTTTCAGATTGTTAGAATATTTCCTCATAATATCAAAACCTTTAATTGTTCGTAAAATGCTAATCTCCTTGGAGGGACTCAGCATTTTAGATTAGGATACAACACCAACCGGATCCAGTGGGAGGAAGTAAAGCCGGTTGCCAGAGGATCACGAAACAAATTAAAATATTGTTGAAATTTGCGACGCCAACCTGTTGCATTATTTTTTATGAGGTCATCTTGACTTTACTACCAAATGTTAAGAAGCGCCATGAATCCTTCAGATATTTTTTCTGGAGTCAGGGAAGTGATCTTCAACATTACCTCCCACTGATGAGCGGTTGATACCTGACGCCATCATTGCTATATTCAATACTATAAGGTAGCCTAATGTACAGCCGAGAGCAACTAAATGGGCTGTAGCTCGTTGCAGATTACATGATTTGTAATAACAGTAGGTGCTTCCGCAGAAAGTACAGTTTTGTGGCCGATTGATTTATCACTTGAACTTGTTTTTTTGTTTTTGTTTTTGTTTGTTTTAAGTGGTTTTCTCAAAGTTTTGAAATGTTTTGTGGTTTTCTCCATCTTTTCTCTTCTAGTAAAATACGAGGAACTGAAAGCTCTTATAGAAAGCAACAAGGATCTGGTTCTGATTGATGTCCGCTCCGATGGTGAGGTGGCTGGAGGACGTATCCCTGGTGCCATTCACATTCCCGGTGAGACCTAATTTACTATTTATTCTCCATAGAGTGAGTTGTAGGAAAAAAAATAATGAGATACGCTTAAAAGCATAAGTATTACAGGATGTGCTGTTTTACATGCAACGCGTGTTGTGGTGAGTGAGGATAACTATTCTGGTTTTTCAGGTTCTGTATATTTTGCATGCTCATCTCCATTCTGCAGAACCTGACTAATAGGCAGTTGTCTAATCTTCCTTTTATCTCAACAGTTCACACACTAGACGCTGCTCTTAGCATGAACCCAGATGAATTTAAAGACAAGTACGGCGTATCGAAGCCACCGCTGAATGCTCCTCACATTGTGTTTTACTGCCAGTCAGGCGGGCGATCAATGATGGCAACAAGAAAGGCGGTCCAAAAAGGATATACCAAGTAAATTAACTTTTTTTGTTGTGTTTTTGTTTATGAGAATGTCTGTAGCTTCTGTTTGTGGTCAGAGGAAAGGGGTTTGTCCTGTAACCGGAGGGTTGGCAGCTCAAACTCCCACTTCCGCCGTTTCAGTCGTCATGTCTCTTCACCAGGTGGCGAAGATATGGCCACCTGGTGGTGCGCCACCTGAACAGAGGGCCAGGTGGCGCAGATTGAACGGCAGCCTTGTTTCTGTCAGTCTGCCACAGGGCAGCAGTGGCTACAATGTAGCTCACCACCATCAGTGGGTGAATGGCTGATTGTTGTGTAAATCACGTTAGAGTCCTCAGACTTAATGAGCAGATGTAGACCGCTTGCCATATTCCTTATTTCACACTGTTTTAAAACACTTTTTGACTTTCAGCATACCGACTGTGATCAAATTAATTTTGCATTGTTTTTTTTTTTTATGTAATTATGGCAACTCCTGATTCTGTGCTTTCTTTGTCCTATTCAGTGCACGTAATTATGCCGGAGCCTACAGCGAATGGTCAAGAAAACAAAGGAATTGATTTCTTTTTAAGGAGAAGCCTCATATTGTGCATTATATTTATATACACCACACAAGTTTTACAAATGTTTTTATGTCGTTGACACAGAAACTGTAAAATCTGAAGTCATAACGCACAATAAATTAACATGGAATAAAATGTTTTTTATTCTTAAAACTGTCTTTGTGAACTGGAGTGGTTTAATTAAAAAACTGCTTCAGTTTTGCATGCTGTATATATAAAGTCATAAATACATATAAATAAATGTGCAAATTAAAAAGCTTGTTTTTTGTTGTTTTTTTCCCCCTTTATATTAATGTCTGGAACTATGCAGCGGGTCATGTTAGTCTCTGTCAGTGGTTAAAGATAAGGAGTTTCAGGAAATACAACTGCTTGATATTTTGGGGATTGGGTCCCCTGTGATGTGAAGAGATAAAGTAAGTTGATGCTCTACAGCCCATGGCCATGTAAAAAAATATACATGTATAATTACTAAAGATTTCAATAATTTATGTATGTTTTAATTTGTCTAAGATAAAGATAGATTAATTTGATGCATGTACCTTCAGATTTATTACTTTCACAAACACACATCAATTGTGATACTTTTTGGATTATTGAACTCTGGCACTTATGGCTTTCCATACATGCTGCCTCCTAAATTGTTTGTATTTTAGATTTCTACTTGTGTGATATGTTTTTATGCATAAGATCAGAGAACATAAAGACGAGAAGTCCAGTTGTACAGTTGTAGCCTACAGTAGACCACTTACGCTACAAGGCATAATCCTCATTTGTTCGATTTACACAATTTATCAGATCGAGCATAGCAAGAACAGCAGCCTTATGCATCACACTAATGCACACTCACATACCCACTATTTTGTGGTTATTTATAAAGGGGTGTTAGCTGGACAAAAACCTATGAGATATGCATGATGTGCTTTTAAACTGATATTGAAAATAAATTGATTTCAGAAATGTATTTTAAAACATGAAATATTGTATAGGTTTCTTACAGAAATTATATAAAAACTGATCATTCTTTTATGAAAACTGTAATAACACGCAACGTCAAAAATGTTATGTTATGGCCGACGCAGTCTTGAGAAAAATTATTGACTTAACATTGTATAGCAAACAGTTATTATAGATACCCTCCACAAAACAGGTACGCCACAAAAAGTACCTGCTAACGCAGCTGGTGTGCGACAGAGTGTATCTAAGATGATTAATGTAAAATTGAGTGGAAGGAAAAGTGAGGTGGCAAAATGGGAAACAGCAGTTCTGAGAGTAATGTGAAGCAAAAAATATTAAAAAGTTGGGAGGATTAAGAAGTTGTGTCTGTAACCAATCAGTGCTTTAAGAAGATCCACACATACATTTTCATTACAGTGATATTCTAATTTATTAATATGCACCTACAGCTCTTAGCTCTGGGTTTGCTTAACTATTGATATGGTTCACTCAGAATTTGGTCTGTTTATAGTTCTTTCTAACTCTGCATTTTTGGTTTGTTTTACTCTACTTTTATTAACAGGAACAGCGTTAGATGTTGTATGACGTTTGATTCATTTTCAACTTAATACCATTTACAGTCATTTTCTTATTTGTCTGCTTTATAACGAAATTCTTTTAAACAAAACTTTTATAAGGATATAGTTTGTTTTTTTAAGCATAATTTTGACAAGAAGTCTATAAAACTAAGGTAAGCTAGAGGATAGTTATTGGCTTGCTTCCACCCACTTTCTGTCTATGAGCCAATAACGTCTCAGTAAGCAAAATGAGAAAGAAGGTATCACCTTATAGGAAGTCATTACAGCTCATCTTCACACCTTCGCTAGGATGGCAAACGCAAGTAAGTCAATTTCATTTACTGTAACAGGTAGAATGTGTATGCATCTTAGCATTTAACTTAAAAAACTAGCAGTCTTTAACTTAGTTTTGGGGGAAAATATATACAATAATACTAAAAATGTGTTATGAATATACCTCTGACAACTAAGAGAAGTTGTCAGTTGTCAAAACTTTTAGTACTTGTCCTTATTGATGTAAATGTAAGATAACGGAAATGCCCATATAATACTTCTCTCACCCTTTTTGGAGTGACTCAGCATTTTAGATAAGGTTCACTCTAAAGCCTCCTGGATCCATTGGCAGTACAGTTATTTGCCAGGGCATCACAAAACAAACCACTTAAAATATTTGTAACGCCCTAACATGTTGCATTATCTATGATGGCATCTTGACCTTACTACCAAATCCCAGAAACAAGTTGTGCGATAAGCAGAATGCCCCGTGAATGCTGGCTTTATTATTATTATTATTTTATTTTCTTACAGATTTCTAGATAGATACATAGGCTTTTTGTCATTTTCACATTAATCATTCAGAGCTTTCAGCAGTTCGGGTAACATGAGCTCGGCAGTTTTATGTTAATGTACATTTAAATAATCCTTACTATGTCTGTAAACATGGAGTCAGGGAAGTGATCTTGAACATTACCTCCCACTGATGAGCGGCTGATACCTGACGCCTTCATTGTGAGGTCAACTATAAAGTAGCCTGTATGTACAGCTGAAAGCAACTAAATGGGCTGTAGTTCGTATCAGATTACATGTTCTGTAACCCAACGCACAAACTGATGGTGCTTCCTCAAGAAAAAACAGTTTTGTGTTTTACTGATTTATCACTTGATCTTGTGCTTTTAAAAAAAAATGGTAGATGCAGATTTCTCAAAGCCTTGAAATATTTTTTCCACGTGTTTTTTCCTAGTCAAATACGAGGAACTGAAAGCTCTTATAGAAAGCAACAAGGATCTGGTTCTGGTTGACGTCCGCTCCGATGGTGAGGTGAATGGAGGACGTATTCCTGGTGCCATTCACATTCCCAGTAAGACCCGATTTATTACAATTTACTCTCCATGGATTGTAGAAATAGGAAAATGATGTACACTTGAAAGCAGAAGTATTATGGGGTGTGCTGTTTTACATACGTATTTTCAGGTTCTCTATATTTTTGCATCCATTGCTTCATGGTGCAGCATCTGACTAATATGTCGTTGTCTCTTTTCATTTCAACAGTTCACACACTAGACGCTGCTCTTAGTATGAACCCAGATGACTTTAAAGCCAAGTACGGTGTAGCAAAGCCAGCGCTGAATGCTCCTCACATGGTGTTTTACTGCCAGTCAGGCAGGCGAGGGGAGATGGCAGCAGGAAATGCGCGGCAAAGAGGATATACTAAGTAAATGGGTTATTTTTGTTGTGATTTCTGTTTATCAGAATGTTTCTAGACTCTATTTAATTAAAGGCATTTTGATTTTGTTATCATTAGAGTAAACACCTGCTAATTAAAAATAAGGAACTTGGTTGTATCAAACAATATTAGAGTGTGTTGCCACTCAAATCCAATTAAATAATGAAAGCTTTTCATAGTAAATGTAACAATCCCATCATACGTGTGATAAAAAACAGCATTTTGATCACTTTGTTTGCATAAAAATCATATAATAATAGATCAGAATCAACGTTGCTGTTAGTTTCTTTGTAGAAGGAAGTAGAAATTCAGAAAATAGTTTTATATTAGGGGAAACAATGGTTCACGATGGAAGGGTTTGTACCGTTGCCAGTGGGTTACCAGTTCGAAATCCTTCT